ATTCTGAAGGCCAGCTGTTTGGTTTTGATGATGAGGACAGCGACTCAGGCGACAGCGATTCCAGTGAGCGCTGGGATGTTGGATCCCGTCCTCTTCTCATTACTAAAGGGAAGAACCTTCCGGATTCCTCGCAGACTCTGCCATCTCGGCTCCCTCAAGCGCAGTCGCCGAAAGGATCTGGCTTCAAGTGTAACGCTTCTCGGAGTCCTAAGACCAAGGGTAAGAAGACACAGAAGCAACGGTGGAGAAGCGAGCTCACTCCTGCCCGTCGGCTGCCTCAGCTCTGAAGCCAGCTCTCGCACAAGTTTCGACTTCAGTTAAAGTTTCGCAGCCTGTTAGCAACGCCAGCTCGGTGATGGGCAGCCAGCATGGTCCTGACCTCCCACCACTTTTGCGACTGTCAGTCAGTCAGCTGAGGGTCCGTGCTTCTCGTAATTCCTCGCGGAATACCAGGTTACCAGCTCAGATGGCTAGACTGGGTGACTTGCCTTTCCTCCACTTTGGTTCAGCGCGTTGTTGGGAGTCCATCCTGGAGCACCAGTCTGGACAGATCCCCCTACACCACTTGTAACTCTAACAGTTGCGATAACTGTTAGAGGTTAGAGACGGACCTCAGACCTTGGTGTGTGCAACACACCAATGGCTACATGGCGGGCCACATCATTGGGTGGCTCGCGTGCATTTACGCATGTAATTGGTAGAAAGTGACGTATTTCTACCAATCAGTGCTCTTATGAGAAATCAGAATCCTGCCAACCACAGAACCTTTAGAAATAGATAAACAGATTTAGGAGGTCCCATAATTGACCTTGTACCAAATTCAATAACAGTTCTCATTTTGCGGTATTCTAAGCAGTTAGTATTGTTTATATTTGATTTAATTATATTTACGGACGCAAGTATAATTAAATTAAATCTAATTGCACGCTCCTCATACACGTAAGCGCACGCGCACGTCACCTAGTGGGTCTAAGTAGACCCATTACACTGAGAGCCATACTTTATCAAGTACTTTTAAGTAATCATTTTCCAGTACCCACGCAGAGAGATGCCCGTTCCTCCGATAACCCGCCCATTCGTGAAGTAAACTTACCCGGCTCCCCCGTTCTTGGGGACGGCGAGGTACTCTCTCTTAAATTGCTTGTCCAAGATCATGCGTTGGTTACCGTACTGCACATTATGCAGCAAGTTGAGCTTGACAGCCCATAAAAACCACGGAGCACTCGAGAAGAAGTGTACAGAAGTAAGAGCATGCTCATACTTTCTGAGCTTAGCGTGTCTCTGTTTATTCCGCTCTAGGTGGCCCGGGGACAACGACGGATAGTTCCGGAAGGCTACGCGAAGGGGGTGCAGAGTGTTGAGGCGGTTTTCGTTAACTCCGCATCGGCTGTGCATGTTAAAATGTTAGTCGGTGTGTCATAGGGCGGTGGCGGCGTGGGACAGTGTCGGCACTGTAGAATGGTGCTGGTGTGTCGGTGCTATGGAGAAGGCCGAGTAAACAGCTCGCCGCGGTCCTGCGGCGTATTGATGTAACATTGGATCCCTCTATAACATCCGCCCGGTACAATAGTGCTCTGCATCAGGATGATTGTTAGTGTAACGGGGTTACACGGGTGTGGCGCACACATGGGCAGGCCTCTGCAAATATGGGAAATCGGAACAAAATCCCATTTTTCCCGTTTCTCATTTCCGTACAAGAAATTGTATGAATTTGAAGAACACTACAAAATCACTATCTAGAAATACGAAACTATTGTACTTGCCTCCCAATTCGAGCGATATCTCATAGCTGTGGCTGTCAAGGCGAATGGCACCGACCATGGTGACGCTACAACCTCCTAAAGACAAGACGTCAAAAGTAAAGTTCAAGCCAGAGCATGCTTCCAAGTACGGCCTCGTGGTCACAGCGGCTGGACAAGGCAACGTTGCGTGTAGATTCTACAAAGTATTCGGCCGTTAGGCGAAGTCTATCGCAGATACATCCAAAACCCCGCGCCGTCAAACCTCAAGGATCAAAATGTTCAAGACTTTCCGTACAAATCTTTATACTCAGCGCCACAAGATTGAACATCCCAAAAAATGGTCAGAGTTTGAATCGTTGCTATCGCTACAAGACAGAGAAGCATTCTTCGCCGCCGTTGAGGTGCCATTTCAAGAAACCATCGCCTCCCATTACGGAGAAGATGCGTTGCAAATGCCAGTCAGCAAACCCATCGTAGAGATTGTCATTGGAGCGCTTCTTTTCCATCCCGACGACATAGAAGGTCTCACCCACAAGCGTGCACTCAGCTTATTCGTAAAGAGCGACACGTCTGACGACGGAACATATACTGCGACTATTAAAAATGCGAAACTTTTTTCGCTAGTAGTCAAATTGGTAGCTTCTGGATCGTCTTTTCGTCAATCTACAATCCAGGCCCAAATTGTTCGGGAAGAGACTGGACTTGTCTGCTACTCTGGTATTTCGGAGCTCCTGGTCTCAAATTTCGTTCGTGTGGTCTGTGCTGTTGGGATTCAGTGTCTTAGTGACATACTGGCAACGACTCATTGGTTTTCGCTAGCTCTAGACTGTGCAACCTTACAAGGAATGTCTTATTTAGATGTTCGCTGCCGGTTTGTTGTCTTAGGAAAGCTGTACAATTTCCATCTAATGGCAGTACCATTGTACGACCGCCATACTGCGAAGAATTTTGTTCGAGTCACTTCGAACCTTCTTAACAGCGATAATACCTACTTGGAGCGGTTTGCTAGTGGGGATCTCAACTGATGGTGAAAACACAATGACGGGGCGAATTAAAGGGCTTGCTACACGAATTGCTGCCGCTACAACCGGCCAAAAAATTATTCGCGTATGGTGTGGTCTGCACCAGCTTGATTTGGTGATGCAAGCTTGTTTCGAGACGGCTCTAGATGAGAATTACCTGTCTTTTCTGACGGGTTTAATTGGCCATCTACGTCGGCAACAAAATTGTATTAAAACAATTCGCTCGGAGTGTCCCTATTTGGCCGAAACACGATGGACATCCATGACCAAGTGTGCTAATTGGCTTACGGGTAACATCCTAGCTATTCAGGAGCATTTGGACGAAAGAATCCACCCAATCGCCCACCTACACAGTGGTGGGTATTTCTTTTTGCAGTCCAGGCGTTCGCGGCCGAATCCAGCAAAACCTTTATCGCCCTGCAAGTGCAGGCGACGCTACTGTCCGAGCAACGTGTGATAAGCTGATTGAAACGTACAAACAAATGACACACATGGAGGGCCCTATCCATAGCAGTGCCATTGCAAAAATGACTGGAAAGCAATTCGAATCTAATGACGAATATGTTCTCGAACATGTTCATGCACTTGCATTTCTCCAAAGTCTGGATATTTGGGTTTTAGAAGCTCTCGAATCGCTAGTCCCCGACACCAAATTACAACTAGTTGTTGCCGTTGCTAAACTGTTTGTCAAAGGGGCCAGTGGAATTTCTGCTATTATGGCTGAAAGGGATGCTGCAAATGCTGCGTACGACGACACGCCACTTGTACTACCGCATCAACTACTGAGCATTGGTATGCCTGAATTTGCACAAATGATAAAACAGCACACTCCCCGGCTCAGCAAGACTCTTGATGCAACAGAAATACACCAGATTTCTAAGGAGTTTGTCAAACTGCAGCGATGCTGCGAGCGGGAAGATGAACTCGGCAAAGTTATCCGCGCTGCTGATGACAACTACAAGCTTGGGCTGTTGTAGGTGCAGAATTCCCGGCGCTGATGCAGTTCTGCGGTGATTTGGCCTCAACGTTCCCAAATACGTCTACTGTTGAAAGTGACTTCTCGATTATGGGATGGGAGAAAGATACTTACCGCCGTAGCCTCAGTAACTTCTCTCTAGAAGGAATTCTACAAGCCAAGCAGTTTGAAGAAGTCCGGGGCCTCTCTGCCTTACTTCAAAAGCACTTTAGTAGCAAAATAACTGTAGCTCCACTTTTCCCATATCTCGACATCCGGAATACCCGTATAATGCTTCAATACGGAAAATAAGTAAAATCCCTTGTTTACAGAGGCCTGCACATGGGTACGGAGTACCCGAAGAGCTAACAGACTCTCAGTACATGA